GGATGAGGAAATGGGGGAGTCAAGGGGGATGGCGATGGGGAGCAGGACCAAGAGCAGGACCAGAAGGAGGATGTACATGATGAGGTGGACGAGGAGGAGGGGGAAGAGGAGGAGGAGGAGGAGGAGGAGGAGGAGGAGGAGGATTAGGAGGAGGAGGCGGAGGAGGAGGAAAAGAAGGAGGAGAAGGAGGTGCAGGAGGAGAACAATAATGGCGACGGCGTCGATGCCGTCGTGTCCCCTGGCCGCAGGATCTCACCGAGAGCGCCCGGGGCAACGCCTCGGGTGCACTGGCGGACTGCCAGCAGCTGCTGGACGACGCGTCGCCCGAGTCCGCGGGCCAGTGGGAGCCCTTCCGTCAATGTCCGCGTCGTCGTCCTCATCCTCGTCGTCCTCCTCGCCGTCATCGTCGCCCTCATCCTCGCCTTCGGCCCTCCCTCTTCTCTCTTCCCTTGCCCTCGCCTCCGCCCTCCTCCTTCTCCCTCCCTCCCTGCTGCTGCTCCTCCTCCCCCTCCCCCCTACTCACCCTTCTTCCTCCGCCCTCCTCCCTACTTCCCGCTCCCCCTCCCCCGCCTCCTCCCTGTGCCCCATCCCGCCCATCCCTACCTCGTCATTTCCCCCCGCGTTCCCCTCCCTCCCAACCCGCCTCCTCCCGCTGCCCCATCCCCTCTTCGCCTCCACTCCTCCTACCTTTTCTTCGTTTCGTGGTCCGTCTTTCCTCCCCTCTCTTCTTTTCGCGGTCCGCCCGTCCTAGGGACCATTGCGCTATACCCCCAGGAGGAGCAGACATGAGCAGAATTAAAATTAATATTAAGATCAATATGATGAGGATGCTGCTGCTGATGATGGTGATTGTGATGATGACGATGCTGATCATGCTGATGATACTGATGTGGTGCTGCTGATGATGATGGTGCTGATGATGGTGAGGATGTTGATCTTGATCATGATGATGCTGGTGATGCTGATGCTGGTGCTGGTGCTGGTGCTGGTGCTAATGATGACGCTGCTGATGACGTTGATGATAACGACGATGCCGATGACGATGATGATGATGATGATGATGTTGATGATGATGAGGTGATGGTGATGCTGATGCGGATGATAATGCTAAAGCTGTTGTTGATGATGTTGCTGATGATGCTGTTAATGATGCTGATGATGATGATGCTGATGATGCTGATGATGATGCTGCTGATGATGATGATGCTGTTGCTGCTGATGATGGTGATGAGGAGGGTGCTGATGCTGGTTACGATGATGATGATGATGCTGCTGATGATGATGATGATGACGATGCTGATGATGATGATTATGATGATGCTGATGCTGACGATGATGATGGTGATGATGATGATGCTGATGATGATGATGATGATGATGATGATGATGATGATGATGATGATGATGATGATGATGATGATGATGATGATGATGATGCTGCTGCTGCTGCTGCTGATGATGATGATGATGATGATGATGATGATGATGATGATGATGATGCTCATGCTGCAGATGATGACGCTGATGATGAGGAGGAGACGGAGGAGGGAGATGAGGAGATGGAGGAGGAGGACGAGGAGAATAATGAGGAGAACGGAAAGAAGGAGGAGGAAGAGGAAGAGGAGGAGAAGGAGAACGATGTGGAGGACAAGGAGGAAACGGAGGTGGCGGAGGAGGCGGGGTAGGAGGAGGAGATGGAGGAGGAGGAGGACGGGTAGGAGGAGGAAGAGGAGGAGGAGGAGGAGCAAGAGCAAAAAGACAGGGAAAAGGAGGAGGAGGAGGAGTTCCCCCAGGAGTGCCTGCTGGCGAGGGGCACCAGCGACCTGGTGATCCTGGCGCTGCCGGCGGGGAGCTGGGCAAGGAGAGGGACAGGAGTAGGATGAGGAGGAGGGCTGAGGAGGAGGAGGAAGGAGGGGGAGGAGGGGGAGGAGGAGGAGGAGGAGGAGGAGGAGGAGGATGAGGAGGAGGAGGAGGAGGAGGACCGTAGTCTAACCACGATGCGTCGAGGAGGAGGAGGAGGAGGAGGAGGAGGAAGAGAAAGGAGGAGGAGGAGGAGGAGGAGGAGGAGGAAGAGGGGGAGGGTGCGATGAAGCCACGTCCTTAGTATACGTCCTTACAGGTATTCGTCTCCACTGCGGGAAAGGGGCTCCCCGACTGGAGTGACGGGCGCTCAGTGCGCCTGCCTCTCGAGTGGGGCTCGGGTTTGTGAGGTCGAGGAGGAGGGGAGGAAGGAGGGGGAGGAGGAGGAGGAGGAGAAGGAGGAGGAGGAGGAGGAGGATGGTGATGCCGATGACGAGGAGGAGGAGGAGGAGGAGGAGGAATCAAATGATGATGTTAATACTGGTGATGATGCTGATGATGATGATGATGATGATGATGATGATGGTGGTTGTGATGATGATGGTCATGGTAATGATGATGATGATGATGATGATGATGATGATGATCATGATGATGATGATGATGATGATGATGATGATGATTATGATGATGATGGTGATGATGATGATGGTGGTGGTGATGGTGATGGTGATGGTGGTGATGGTGATGGTGATGGTGTTGATTGTGGTGACGATTATGCGGATGATGAGGAGCAGGATGATGACGATGATGATTCTGATAATGGTGATGCTGGTGATGATGATGATGTTGATGATGGTGATGATGATGATGCTGGTCATGGTAATTGTGATGATGATGGTGATGCTGATGATGATCATGATGATGCTGATGATGCTGATGATGATGCTGATTATGATGATGATGATGATGATGATGATGATGATGATGATGATGATGATGATGATGATGATGATGATGATGATGATGATGATGATGATGATGATGATGATGATGATGCTGCTGCTGATGATGATGATGATGATGATGCTGATGCTGATGCTGCTGCTGATGATGATGATGATGATGATGATGATGAAGATGATGATGATGATGGGGATGGGGATGGGGATGAGGAGAGGATGAGAGTGAGGATGATGATGCTGATGATGATGATGATGCTGATGGTGATGATGATTAGGAGGAGGATGAGGAGGAGGAGGAGGAGAAGTTGTGCGGAAGAGGGGGTAGCAGGCAAGCTAGGTGCGCTCGCGTCATATCTGACGTCCTACCCCTCCCTCCCATCCCTTACCATGGCGTAGATCTCCTCTCTATTCGCACAGTCGGATGTGGAGCAGGGCAGTGATCGCGAGATGGTGCGCGATGCATAGTACAGCACGGCGTAGCAGGGCGTAGAAGAGAACGACAGAGCGTAGCAGCCCGTAGCATGGCGTGGCGCTGCGTAGTGAAGATTTGCATCACCAAGCAGTGCAACGCACAGAACTGCATCGCACAGCGGCGCGGAACACAACACCGCACAGTGTGTCATGGCATGGCGCCGTGGTCCTTGGAGGGTAAGGGAATCGTCTTCGAGAGGTCTGGGCCGTTCTGGAGTCGTGGCTCCATGTCTAGCTCCTTGGGCTCCCCGGAAAGCTCCACACAAGGCGGGGCTGATGGAGAGCATCCGCTGGTTCTGCTCTCAACATCGCCTTCTCAAAGCAGAAACGGGGCTCCCGCTTGATACCTCCTGACAGTGACGACGCCCCAAAGCGGAGGGGGGCTTCTGAATCACTTCCGATGGTTGTTGTTTCGGGGGGGGGCATTCTCTAGATTTGAGGCATGCCATCGCACAGCGGAACACCACACAGCATTGCATTGCATACCGTGGCGCGACACTGGAAATGATGACGCCAGTGCCTCAGCGGGAGCACGATTCGGAACGAGCGGAAGCGCATAATGAGGCCAGCGTTGCAGCGGGAGCACGATTCGGAACGAGCGGAAGCGCGGAAATGAGGCCAGCGCTGCAGCGGGAGCACGATTCGGAATGAGCGGAAACCCGAACATGAGGCTAGCGTTTTCGCGGGAGCAACATGTTGGAACAAACCCAGCGAAAACGCAACTCCCGTGGACCTTATTGTTCGTAAAAACAAAATTCGTGGAGGGGGGGCTTGACAGCTTCTGGACGTCATCAGGGGAGAGGGGAGAGCAGTGCTCATATTGGATATTTGTGCAGGAGGAGGAAGAGGAGGAGGAGGAGGAGGAGGAGGAGGAGGAGGAGGAGGAGGA